TATCAAATATAGGAGAAATTAATATATCATCCTTCATATATTAGTCTTAATCAGACACCGTCATATATATATATATATATATATATCTCCATCACACATTATTACATACAATGTATTAACTAACAGGCAAAAGTTAATCATTTGTTCTTTAGGGCTAAACTCATTTGCTTTCCCAAATCAGGGGTTTTTTTTAACCAAATTCCAGTCCTACAATTTTTAAATCATTAAACCTGAGTTTTAAATCCCCTCAAATCTTAGATGCTTAACAGCAAATGCTTGGGAAAAACTGGAATTTAAACTCCGATTTTCTTTCACCGAATTTTTGCGTGAAACGCAAATTCTGGATTTTCCACGATAAGTTTTGTCACTTAAACTTCAAAATTCCAACTTAAATTATAAGGATAAAAGCAAATGTACTAAATATCTCATAACTCCACATGGTTTTTAATTCGATGACCACAAAAAACTATACTATTTTGCTTACGACAGCTACTTCGCAAAGAAACATACTGTGGATTGAAGGGTGAACGACCTTGCCATACACGATCTTCTTCACCAGCATGCTCATCGTCCTCATACTCCCACCTTCTTTTCACGCCGTGCTTCCTGAATTTCAAACGAATTTACAGGGCAAGTTCAACAAAGTCATATGCATATAACGTAAAATTTGTTGCTTTGTTTTTTTTTTTTTTGATTTTTTCTGACTTTTCTGCATTATCCTGGAACCAGTAAGCCAGCCCTCCTTCTTCTCTTGTACCCTCCACTCACCAGCACTCTTGTTCACCTCCTCATTTCCCATGCTTTGAAAGATCTGTTTCCAATCAGCAGAGTTTTGGTTCCAATCTTGTTATCCAACTTTTACAATACATCAATTACTCATCTCCTTTTTTAGCCAAGCAACTATTTATGAAAAAACTTACCCATAGTTTTCGCTAGGACAATAGTAGCCCAATGTGATTACATTTACAGCAAAGTGTCCGAGCTTCGAGATCATCGATGGCTGAGTCTGAGCGTGCCACGTTGCCACTCGGCCGGGAGATGGTGATGGACGAAATTCTCTTTCCTGTTTCTAAATTTATGTTAAAACTGTTAAAACTGCTTTAAAAAGTTAGTTTTATTTCTACTTTTCGCACCAAAATTTCCCGCACATTGTTATCAATTCAAAATGCAACTTTTTAAAACTTTACCCACACAATGCTATTTCTTTTTACTTTTTCACGTTACTTCTTGCGGGCGAAGGAAACGCGATAACACGCCGTATTATGTCACAGAAAAAGAAGAGGAAGAAAACAAGGGAAAAGCAGCGTAGATGACCACCGGATTTGGTCACAATAACAATGAAAAGAGGGCCAGCTCAGCCAGAATGAGTGTATAAAACGAGAGTGTGACTGTGGGAGAATGAACGGACGAACCATGAACTGTTTGCCGCCAGCTGCACCATGCCACGGGTAATCCTCACCGCTTCTCACTCGTCGCTGTTGCGGCGCATCTAAAAATGCGAGCATTTTTATTCAAACAAAAATCCGCAAGAGTAGGGCGGCTGAGGCGCAGGAAATTTTTGTTTGCTCAGCGTATGACTATGGCGGAGAAGCTTCAGAAGATAGATATTACTACTGCAAAAACAGTTAAGCGAAAGCCACACTCCAATAAAACGTTCAGACATATCCAACATTAACTAAATTTCATCAAAAATTTCGAGAAATATGGACCAAAGGACAAAAAATAATTGGTGCAGATCGGAAAAATATTCACAGTGAATCTGTGTGCAAATGAATAAACAGCGGTGCACACCAGAGCAGCCGGTGGGACCATACATATGGTGCAATTCCGTCCACCGAACGATTGCGCTTGCTAGTGATTTTCACTGCTCTGAATTTAAATTTGAGGAGTTACACGGGCAGATAATGTACCCATAAAATCCCAGCTTCCTGGATTACGTGGTTCCCGAGATAATAATTACTCGCCACAAGTTTCACGGAGCCGTATACGTCACCCGCGGACACGGGAAGGCTGAATTTAAATTTTCTGGATCGCATGTGGGCAAGGGACATACCCGTAAAATTCCAGCATCCTAATTCCCGTGTTTCCCAAGATAATAATCTTCTCCGCCAAAACTTTTACGGGGTCGTATGTGTTACCCGCGGGTACGGGGAGGCTGGATTTAAGTCTGCGGGATCACACGTGGGTGGGGAACATTCCTCTAAATTTTCAGCTTCCTAGCCATTGTGGTTCGCGGGTTGAAAGTTGCAGACAAGTTGCTGCGGACATACACACACACAGACAACCCCGTAAAAATATGCGTTTTGCACTGCTGTTACACAGCACAAAACGAATAATGTGAGTTTTAAAAATCAACAAAAATGAAAACGAATAATGTGAGTTTTCAATCAGGATAAGATAACGAGGAGTAACTTAGGAAGAAAACCCTAAAAGTAACGGTAACATCAGCATTAGAGGAGGAAACGAGGAGCAGAAGTGAGGAAACCGGGAAGAGAGGAAAAGGAGCAGTTGTTAATAACTGCTTATAGCTAACTCACGTGACAGTCCAGTGTACTGAGACGATA